CAGTACCGATGACACCGCACGCTCGGCCACTGCAATGTGCGGGTCATTCCTGTCCCGAATCTCGAGACCGTACGTAATGTGTAAAATTTGCTGCCCTGCAAGGCTTCAAAGTGCCTAGGTCGTGACCGTCATGCATGAAAGGAAGGCTTTGCTCACTACTTGATGTAACCCCGGAAGTCATCTGGTGCATCCATGAGGTTGAGGAGAAACTTGAGCGTCGCCTTCATCTCCGCAGGTCGATAGCGCACGATGGCCTGCGAGTGAAACGCTTGAGAGGCCATCTTTCTAGCGTCGCGCCAGTACGAATCATATCGCGCGTGTGCGATCATCCAGGAGAATCCAACACTAGACACGTATCAGTAAAATGGATGGGTTAAACGACTGAGTAGCGTACAGATCTCTCAGCATGGTAAGGCCTGTGCTCGACCTGGATCAGTCAGCGATGTGTCTGCGGGGAGGAGTGGAACGTGACGCACCTATCAGAATAGATGGCGGATCGAGTCTCCAAGAGTTCATTCGCAACTTCGAGTGTGTTCGCTATGACGACGTTGGTCCCCAGCATATTCACGCCCAGTATGTCGGATTCTATCTGGAAATGAGCACCTGGTACAAGCAACGAGGCGCAACAGAATTTACTATAATCGTCGCTCCATTGTCTGTACGTGGCACAGTCGGGTTTCTCGATGGCGCGCAAATAGCCAACGAATGGCCAGCCGCGAGGTCCAGGGAGCTTTGCAGGTCCGTGGGCACCTGTGCTGCTCGCGAAAGTGCGGCAAACTATCAAAGTAATGTAGGTGAGGCATCCAACGCAGAGCGCGGCGCACGCCGCGGTCGCTACGCTCTCCATAGGGGCTAAGATAAGAACGAGCCCATGTCAGTGGACTGGGCCCAGTATTTGACAATGCGAAGGCATAAGCTTTAGTCCGGTGGCGCGCAGAGGAAGCTATCTGTTGTATGAGCGTGTGAGCGCAGTCTCGATCTGTAGGTATCACCGGATGCCGATTCGATAGGGGCCAGGACGAGCAGTGATGAGAAGATACAACGCCAGAGCGCACATACTTGCCACATTTTTGTCGAAGCTCAGCGTGGAGCGACTAAGGCAATGCCGACGCATATGTCCCTGTCGAAGAAAGGGCGGATCAGTGACAAGGAGCGCGAACGAGAATGAAAGAGCGCGTACTACGTGCGCAAACGTGTCGTACGAACGTTCATTGGTCCCTATCATTTCGTGAACCTTCATGTGCATGCGTGTACGTACTGCGCGATCGCGCACGAAGATACACGAAAGTTCACCAGTAGAGAGTGCACGAGGACGCACGGGTGTAAGCGCCCCGGGCCGACGACTTCGGGTCCGAAAGGTTACTAAATGACCCAGGCATGCTGCCGATGAACGTCGATGAGATGAGAGACAGCGGTCTGTTTCGTAGCATTGGCCAACCCGTTACAGTTGATGGTCAACGCCGTGGTTGAAGAAGGAGCCGCAGAGATAGAAGAAGCGAGCGAGCAAACATAGGCGAGAAGGAAGAGAAGCTGAATTGGAGACGAGAGTTTAGGTACAAAGCGCTGTGGAACAGAAGAAGACTGAGACCGTGACGAGACGGATGATGGAGGTTCCGGAAAGTAACGAGGTGGAGCTGTACCCTCAACAGCCGTACGGGCGGAGTCACCGTGGTGCTCACTGTTGAGCAAGAGGGACGAAAGCCCATGAGAAATGGCGGGGGCCAGAGGGGGAGCCAGGCTACTCACCTGGGGGGCCGCAAATCAGCGCTACCATCTGCCTGTGGGGTTGTAACGGAAGCCGGCAGAGGTGCGCTGGGATGTGGCACAGGTGGAAGGCCCGGCGGAGCGCCGATATCCTTGAGAGAGGTAGCGACAGAGAAGCTGAAGGCGATCTGTTGCTCTTCGAGATTTGTCACCTGCCTACGTTTGTTAATGATCTCCTTATCGTACTGTCGAATGCGAAGGAGGTTAAGCTGGCGGACGTCACCAGGGATACTGGGCTGCAGGAGCGGAGTGGTATCGGCGCTTGTGCATCCGCCGCAAAGTGCCGAGGATGAATGATGCAATTATTGCCTCTGGTTGGCTAGTGCAACCTTTCCCAGTTTCCACCTCAACGATGCTTCACAAAGGTGTGGGCAGCGCATTTGACAGATTTTCCTGAATAGCATACATTGGCAGATAATTGAGGCGCACTCGAACGGTCGATCACCTCCTATGCCTTAGATCCCGGATGTCCCTAAGGTGAGCGAGCCAGAACTTGCGATGAAAGAGGTCGCGCGCAGCCGTTGTGGCAGGTGCAAGTACTGTAATAGTTGAACATCTGTTGAGGTAGGTCGGTATGTCACTGCTATCCGCACCATCATCCATCCTGCTCTAGCGCAGCATGCACCAACGCTGCATGCACAGCCGACCGCGGACGAATACGGCACCTAAATGGCTTCGGCGCCCTGTAGATATACTCGTCAGTGGCCTTTCCCTCACCGACATTGAAAGAGACACGCACGTCAAGAACCCATCCGTGTACTCCCCACTCGGTTCAATGACCGCACCATGTGCATCGACGGCCTTGGTGATGTCGAATGCAGCAACGACGCTCGCGACCGCGATCCAGAGGGACTCGTACGCCATGTGACGCCCAGGACAGATGCGCCGCCCGAAGCCGAAGGCCGCTACCATCGGATCGCGCACGGTCGGGTCGAGCTCCACGTTCTCCGTGCCCGTTCCGCCAATGCTCGGGCGTGGTCGGAGGAAACGTCGCGGGTTGAAGGCCTCTGGATCGGAGTATGCCTCTGGATCATGCAGGATTGCCC